TCTCTCTCTCTCTCTGCCATTGTATGGTATGTTTAATCCAAATACGGATTTCAATACAATTTTCATGCAAAGCATAGACTGTATTCTAGAGACTACTGGTGTGCCTACAAGTCATCCACATTTCAATCTATAGTTTAAAATTGCTTTCATCTAAACTTCAAAACTTTTATTTAACTTAACATTAAATTTCAAAGAAATCTCAAAAAGAAATCCTTTCATAACTAAAACGTGCGAAACAAAGTGAAGCAAAAATAGTTTCAAATATATATAATTCAATAAATAGGAAAAATGCAAAACATCACAATTTGTATGTTATATAGAAAATACTGATTTTAAACTTTTACGATTTTTGTATTGCTTAATTATGTATCAATTTTAAAATTAACTTTAGATTTGAATTGAATCGATCGCACAATTAGCCAAAAATATGTTATCAGTGTATCTATAAAGAAATAGTTTTAAATATATCAATAGTAATGATTTGTGACTATATTTTTGTTAAAATATAATTTTATTCATATTTCCTCTGATACTAAACTATCACTTAAGAACTAGTTGTGAACACCTTTGGAGAGTTGCCGACAAAAAAATGTTATAAAAACATATAATATCCAATAAATTTTCAAAGTTATAAAAATTTAATTAATTTATTTTCAATGTTATATAAAGTGGTGATTGGGAAAAAACATTTGCCGTAACTTAGCTATAGTTTTCCACATTTATAAATAATATTAATGTGTGTAAAAAATTATATTGAAAATATAATATTTCTTTTCATATATAACTTCAGTTTTTTAATACTTTGAATTCAAGAAATTAATTAAAAATGTTGTGTTTGATATCAAATAACACGTTTGACAAAAAAACCATGTTATATCTGCCATATGGTTTGACTGGAAAATTAGGTTAACGTGTACACCGAGAAAATCACTTATGATTTTTAATTTTACAATCAATTTATTTATTTAGAGGTATCGACGCTGAAAAGTAGTCATTAATTTTTTGTTGTAAAATCAAATTTAAATCAAAAAATTAATTTGTGTTTTATTATATGTTTGATTAAAGAAAATTTTAATTTTGATAATAATTTATTTCATATTAAAAACATAATTAACAACAAACTTAAAGTAATTAAGTTTACAATCGAAAGTTGATTTACCGCTAAATTGAAAATTTGTTGTATGAAATTGTTTATCAGTTTTTAAGAAAAAATCACTTTATCTTCTCTTACAAGGCATATGATATGAACGATACGATTGATTCATTGAAATCAAATAGTTTTATATCACTTCCAACTCAGTTGTAGTTATAAAAGTTTTTATCATTTCATTACATAACAAACAAACCCAACCATTCATTACATATGTCTTATACTAATTGTTGTCCACAGACTATACGCGGCGAAGTGCACGGGTTGTCTGGAGCCGATCGCACCGACCGAACTGGTAATGAGAGCACTCGATCACGTCTATCACATCAATTGTTTCCTATGTGTCGGTTGTGGCCGACAGTTACAGAAAGGCGACCAATTCGTCATACGAGGCGGTCGTCTCTTCTGTCGGCCAGACTTCGAGAAAGAGATGGCATTAATCCATATGACAACCAATGGCCGCAACAGCGGTGAGAGTACACCCATTTCGGCCAACAACGGCCAAACCGTTTTGCCAGTCATTAATGGCAATCCCCAGCGACAGGACGGCCGTCGGGGACCCAAAAGGCCGCGAACTATACTCACCACCGCTCAGAGAAGGGCTTTCAAGGCCTCCTTCGAGATCAGCCAAAAGCCGTGTCGTAAGGTATGAAACAATCTCAATAATAATGTTATAATAATAGTTGCAATGAATGTATAATTATATGTTAACTAATCATATTTAAGGTGAGAGAGACGTTAGCAAAGGAGACGGGTCTGAGTGTTAGGATAGTTCAGGTCTGGTTTCAGAACCAAAGGGCAAAAGTAAGCACTAAATTGAGCTCATTATGAATTAGAGTAAAAATCAATACATGTTTTTTGATGCCTACAGTTGAAGAAGATTCAAAGAAAACAGCAACAAATGCAGGCCTCAGGACAGGGAGGGGTCGGCGGCGGCGGGAGTGAGTCGGGAGGCATTCAAAGTCAATCGAGTGATAAATCGAAAGGTGATAACACATCCTATTCTATTGATAATCACAATGACAGCAATTTGACAGACTCTTCAGCCGATTCGCCACAATTTTCACTTCCGCCCCTCCACTACATGCCCCACAGCCCCGACGGTTAGTACACTCTATCCATTACGACAAACAAAACACTAAACAAAATGATTAAAACCAAATCAATGGTGAAAATATCGTAAACCAAACAGAATATCAATCAATTATAGGATCGTATTATTCGCCTCAAGACGACGGCTACGCCAAGAGTGAGCTCGCGATGGATTCCGAGACCAGTTTAGGCGGTTTGGAGGACGTCCTCATCAATCAGAGCGCCAACAGTGCAGTAGTGGTCGGTTCCATAGACCCGACGCCCGTGTCGTTGCATCACTCGGATGTCATCACTCACACCACTCTCTTCGGCGCGCCGTCGATGACACCGATCGACAAACTATATTCAATGCAATCCTCGTATTTCAATTCGGGTGAATGCGAGTGTTTAGGGGCACCCAATTAGCCCCCACTCTCCCTCCCGAACACCCCCTCCGCCATAGTTTCAGTACAATTTTAACAATTGATCGGTTAGTTATCAATGATTGACTAATATATATATACAAACATTTTTTGGGCAAAACATGTTTTCTCAGTCCAAATAACATATCGATTGAATAACACTATATATTTGTAAACTATATGTAAATTTGAAATTTATCTAAAAAAAGTTATCCGAATTTATATAATAATAATAATAATAATAATTTATTATTATTATTGATACTGTATTTGAAATGATATTTTTAGTTTTTCTCTGGGGTTTAAACATACCGTTTGTTTTTCACATAATTTTTTTTGTCATAACAAAAAAGTGTTCACATATTTATCACCAAATTTATAATTGAAATGTTATTTAATTATTATTATATAAATTAATGGGAAAATCTCTGGGAAATTAGGAGGCGAAACAAATTGTGCACAAAAAATAATAATATATTGTATGCTTTGATTAAACAAACAATTTGTTTGTAATGAAACAAAACACACAAAAAACCAATCATTTTATGGAATTTTAATTTTTGTTTTTCTTAACACAAATTTGTGTAAAACCTGTCATTTTGTTATATGAAAAAACATAATATTTGTTTTCTTTACTTTTTTCCTTTGGAAAAATGTCTTTTTTGAAAAATAAAAACAAATTATACATAAAAACAAATTTGCGAGAAAAATATTTTTATACGTTTGAATCGATAACACTTTTATGCCATAATATTCTCGCGAATGACAACACATTTATTGATTACTGACTTTTCATGTCATAAAAGGGAGAGAGAAAGAGAGGAAGAGTTGACAAAACTTGTGCTAAAAGTGAGCATCTTTTCCATCGCATAAATATTGGCTTTCTTTGCAAGCGATGAGTACAACACAAAATAGATGAGAGAGAGAGAATTAGAAAACAGGTGTGTTTTGTGTGGATAAAAGTTATATTCATTATATGAGAGGCAATAAAGTTTTCCAAATGCTTTGTCGTGTTATTCTGTGCACAAACACAGAGTTTAATCAGTGTTTATGTGACAAATCCATTGTTCCCATCGCTGACTGATCCCAAACTTTGCTCTTTTTTCATTCAAACAATGCTTAGTTTAAATCAATCGTATTTCAGTTATGTTTATGTTTTACTCATTAACGAAATAATAATTACAACTATTTTGCAATGATTGTAATTATTTTGATTTATATATAATTCAATTTAAACATATAGCTTATTTTGTGCTATATTATTACGGTAGTTATATTACTGCTATTAATATAATATTTAAAGTATATAATAATGAATTGGTTTATCACCATAAGTAATTTTATGTTTATTATAAATAATATATAAACCGATTTGGAGGGTAACGATATTTATATAGATATTTTCAATATTGTATTCAAATCTATTTGATTGTTGTGTAAGTTATACTTTGAATGCATAGCACAGCTATGTTTGAGATGTAGCTTCAGTTGAACTAAAAATCTCTTCAAATGACAACATTATATATTTTCTAATATTTTAAATCAAATCCAAATATGAAAATAAACGGAGGAATACTCGTTGTATTGTAGGAAAGCCCACATATTTATTGCGCTTTTTTAATGTAATATTTTTGAATAGATAACTGAAATCAGGAAAATATTCTCATATTTGTAGTGTTTGGTGACAATTAGTTTTCATCGCTTTAATGAATTATAAATTATAAGTGATTACAAAACAGATGCGCAAACAGTTTGACATTAAAAGAGATGGATCGTCTCAATGGCATGATATTACACTCATTCTCTCTCTCTCTCTCTCTCTCTCTCTCTCTCTCTCT